CTGATATGTTCTGACCTGGATACAATGACCGCAAAATGGTATGTGATAGTTATTTGAGGACTCCACAAAACATCTAATTTGTTTAACCTTAATTGAATATATTGGATTAAGGACAGAGTGCAAGTGACTATGGTTCTGACATAGACTTCCATTCGTTTTGCATCGTTATCATAAGCTGTATTTGTCCAAAAACATCTGTTATCCAAATAGGAAACAATTTAAAAAAATACTAGGCTCTACAACTCCGAGTGAAGGAGATTACCCGCCCCCTAGCCTTGTATTGTCGTAACATTGTACACATACACAATAAAAATAATAATTAAAAGTAATTATAATTGTTCCCAAGATTCGTGATGGTTGTTATAAAAGATTTTAAGTGTTACTTTTAAGGTTATGTCGTCACAGAAATAAAAAAAGACAAAGCATTGGTCACCATATTTGCTTTTATATTATTTTTTTATGTAACGAGGGGGAAATAAACAGACGGGTCGCAAGTTGTTTGAGTGCCCCCCCCCCCCACTCATGGGGGGCTGGGATGGATTGTCACCGGTTATCTGCGAAGCCGTGGTATCACTCCGGTGGAGATCACACATACATGTCGAAGTCGAGTTCAACAATACCACTCTTTAGGTTTTACTGTTTATAACATTATCATGATGTAGGCACTTTAAAGTCAGTAATATATTCCTGTGTCGTAAGGGACTTTACAAAAACACATGAAACGTCACAAAGAACACCCAGACTTAGAACAGCAATTTGTGGATCACACAAAGTGTTGTTCCATGTGGGAATCGCACCCACAACACTCAGCGCAGCAGGAAGCGACGAGGTGACCGCTTAAATCACTACGCTATCCGCAGTGCTTTACCTCTTTAAAATAGTAGTATAAATCTCAATTTACATTATGAGATTAAAAAAACCTGTTTGATTTTTTAAATCACAAAATAAAAATATCCAATTTGGTGCAATCTGCGGCTTGCATACATTACGGCGATTCATTTTTATTTATATAGATAGATTCTTAAGCAAATGATTGTGTGTATAAAGTTATTTGGCGATTCCATAAGTATTTGTGTACAATATGATTGTTAGCGTAACAACCTAAGATGGCGGTCTGTGGCAATACCTACATTATAGGTAAAGCAGACCAAACTAGAATGTAACTGAACCATGTTAGGAATGACACAAACTGGCCGGTTTAAAAGTTCATTTTTGTTTCTTTATTGCAAATAAAGAAAACACCGAGATCACACAGTGATCGTGTTACATTAATGGCTCTTGTGAATTCTAAATACATTTTTTTATAATGTACGTGGTATTTTATACTTTTATACGTATACTATATTCTCAATATTACACAAACAGATGGATAAAAAAGTCTTATTTCAAAATATAATATTTAAATATTTTATCTAACTACATACTATTTTATTTAACTTCGCCTGCACGAATGGCGTAGCGTAGTAGTTTAAGCGGTCGCCACGCTGCTTACTACTTCGCTGAAGCTTCGTTGTGGGTTCGATCCTGATATTTGACAACACTTTGTGTGATCCACAAATTGTTGTCCTGAAACTTGAAGAAAAAGGGGGGAATCTTATCGGTAACCTTGTTGTCCTGCGGCTGATATCTGTGATCCAATTCCCACACCATATGAGTGAGAGGGGAAGAGGGGGGGGGGGGTGCACATATGTTGTTCCACAAACTTATATTCTATAATCTCCCCTGGTATAATCTTAATCGTCATCATGTTTTGTAAAAGACAAAGAACATTGTAAATGATTTTGGCTGATTTCTTTTATGGTCTTTTAGCCCCTTTCGAATAGGACAGAGTATTAAGGTATTGCATTAAAGTACAAGTGGACTGCGATTAGCTGATGATGAAACAAGCTTTTAGATATCATGTAGCATCAAAGCACTCACTAAGACTAAACAAATGGGCCAAAAACTCGATGGGTTATCTTGTTCAGTTAAGAAGTTCCTATGGCTCTCTTTTAGATCCATCATCAGAAAAGCTTCATGGTACTATATTATTGTATCGTCACTGAAGATACATATATGTACACCAAATTTAAACCCAATTAGACATCTGGCAATGATTCTAATTGAGGCTCCGAGATTCGGCTTCCAAGAAACGATTCAAGGCACATACATTCAAACATTGCAAGGTAAATAAAAAATTGTAATTAGAATCATTTGTAACTACATTTTTAATCCAAATATTATCATTTAAACAAACATTTGTCACTGAAAATACCATTTCCACGCTACGTTTGTAAGTTGCCTAATGTTAGTATTTGCCATTTGGTTTAATTTATACATTTACTGCGCCGAATGAACCGATTTCATAATATAATTATGGTGAGAAGCCGACCTGCGCTGACTGGAGTCAATATATTTGATATTTTGTTAAATTTACCATAACTAACAATATATTGAAAGTTTTCAAACTTTGACGAATTTTGTATAGACGTGTAAATCGGGACTTAGCTCAGACCTATTTCTTAGCGTCCATTTATTAACCGTGCGAGTGCCGGCTCCATCTCGTGATAGATGGGGTCGACAGCGACTGGGACTTGCGACGCAGGTATAGGTTTAGGGAGTACTCCTTGCGACGTGTCAGCGTTCACCTCCACTGTTTGCTGTGTTACCCACTCAACCTAACCATATTTGATACGAGCCTAGCAATGCCGCTTTGGATATTCGTTCAAGAAGAGAGCTTACTGAAGCTCTTGGCAACCTAAGGTCTTTAAACAGGTTATAGAAGATTAAGCTGGTATACCCCTCGCACCCACTTCCACTACATACAACGCAACGAAATAACCATTTTTAGTTATTTCGTTGACAAAAGTCCAAAACAAGTTGGACAAAAGTCAACGTACAGTTTTTAGGGTTGTTCGTTTCCCACGTCACCGTGAGTTCTACATGACCATGATCATTGTAAAACGATATTTATTGGTCAATATTTTGTATAGTAACGCCATTTCAACTTTAACTTTACAAAAATATTAAATAACTGATTTTGCCGCGGCTTCGAATACTTAAATGTATTTTTTTTGCAAATCAATTTGAGTAAGGTAACAGTACTACGAGTATTGTTCATTTCGTATGAAAGGTATCTATGTCTCTTTCTACACCCCTTTATGCTGAATTTCACGATTATGGGTTGAGCAGTTAATATATGATAACATAACAAACAAAGGAATATAGACAAACAACTAAACTTTCATATTTATGTTACATTAATAAGGACAGATTTCTTATTTTTATATGATAACTGTTTTTTAGTCTGAGCCCTACAAAAAATGATAAATAACACTATTTAACAAACTATAGCTAGAGTATCATAAAGAAAGCTTATTTGGCTTTATAAGTTTAAAAAAAAACGATTATAAAAAACTGAAATAGGAATATTTAAAAATAAACATTTTGTTCTATTTTCAAACTACAGTAGTTTTTACTTTTTTTTTCATTTAGAACAAAGAATGTTGTTAGCACGAGCAAGCTACGTGAGTGCCAAGCAGGTATTAATTGAATTAAAAAAATAGTTAATTTTAATAGAAATACCCTTGTGGTCGAATTTCAGCCGTTTTGAAGGTTTTTTTCAAGTCTTCTGATTTTTTAAAATTATATTATTATATTTATTATATTTGCAGAAAACTAAATTTTGAAACAATATTATATTGTTAAAAAATTTTGCTTATAAAATTTATTTCACAAAACTTGCTTCATATACAATAATTTATTACTTCATATCACCAATTACAATATTTTAATTAAGACTTGTCATAAAATTAAATAAAAAAAAACATAAAATATTAAATAGTCAAAACTGTATAAACATTAAATATTCCAAATATTCTTCTGTGCTTAGGGTAACATAGATCAAATATACTTAGCTCCTTTATGTTTAAGAATGACCTAGTTTTTTAAATATCCTGAAAGAATAATGTGACCTTGGGTATCGTAATTCTATATTCCTTTCTCTGTACTCAATCACTTACCAACCGGCCTGTATTACTAACAGGCTTCTGTACTCCTTTGTTAAAATGATTGTATAGCTAACGTTCGTGAGATTAGTGCCCTGCTTAAGTACTAATTACGAAATTGCTATTGCAATGGTAGAGGACTGGTATAGGTTGATGATGGATAAAGCTACCAATCTTCTAAGTTTATAAATAAAACTAAAACATTATTTTTATTTATAAAAAATAATTTGAAATACGATTATTGAGATGAAATATTTGACATAAGTAAAATATCGTGAGATAAACCTCTGTCACAATGACCTAACTGGAATGAAAAAAAAATACGTGTATAATTAATTTGATATGGCAACCAAAGCGGAAGTCTTATGTATTAGGCGCCAAAATAACCTTGAATACCTTTATAAGTACACAAATAAAAAAAAGTTGGCCAAGGCGTGGCCGCCATAAAAAGGTTGATATGTTTAAAAATAACAATTAGGCACACAGCCAGGAAGTGCTCTCAAAGCGATTTTGTTATTTAAAAACAGATTATATGTAATAGCTTAACTTGATTTATTAAAACATAAATAAGGTTAGTGTTGTTTATACAGTCGATAACTCAATATCTTTTTCGATTTATCGATATGCATATTTTTCCGTATTGTATAATTATTGTATGTTACTATGTTAAGGTCGATGGTTTTAAATTTGAACTTGACATTTTCAATTGTACATATAACATCAGCAATAATCTTGTTTGTTAAAAGGATTCGACAACTACTGATTTGATTTAATGGGTTTTGATTCGTTCGCAATCGTGGTTTAAAAATGTTTAAAGGCCTTCATGTAAGGCTGATGGAAAATGGTACAGATAAATGTATTATGTAGATGTAAAAGGAAAGAAAGAAGATATATTTACTATTTCATTTATTCACTCATCCTCGCCTCTCTTTTAGCCAGTGTATATTTTCATATAATTTATTTACATTCCGAAACATATTGAGTATTTTTTTGGTATCTAAATACTATCACAGTTTACCATCCGTGTCCAGCGAGTCCATAGCCATGAGCGCCATGCGCAATGGCTAAGGGAGCGCCATGGGCAACGGCGTAGGGAGCGGAGTGGGCGATGGCTACGGGAGCATGGATTACGGGGGCGGGATGGGATTGTTGAAGGGACTGGCTAACAACGGTCTTGCTGGAGGCGATGGCGTGGCCAGATACTACACCGTGGGCACCGTAACCAGCGGCTAGACCATGAGCACCGTAACCAGCGGCTAGACCATGGGCACCGTAACCGGCAGCCAAGCCATGAGCGCCGTAGGCAACAGGGGCTACGAGGTTAGCGTGACCAGCGATTTGCTTAGCGAGCACGGGGGCAACACCGGCGGCGGCACCATCAAGCTGAGCTTCTTGGGTCTTGACGGCATCGATCGCTTGCCAAGAGTGGTCTTCGGCGGCATTCACAGCGCGGCCTTGGAGCTCACGGGCAGCGTCAACGGAAGCACGTACGTGGTCGTGGGCCTCAACATGGGCATCGATGGCGGCACCAGCGATGTCACCAGGGGAGATGGTGGGGAGAGCGGGACCAGCGTGGGCAATGGCGGCATGACCTACAGCCAAAGAAGCACCGTGGGCCAGAGCAAGACCGCCATGACCGGCGAGGCCATGACCATAGGGTGCTGCCAGCAGACCGGAGGGTGCGGCTGCGGCGCAGGCGAGGACGGCGGCGACAATCTGCGAAACAAAATCCGATTATAACTTCGTTGTTACATCACAAATCGATATTTAGGTCAACTGTAATCGATGACAATCCATCCTTGTCACAGCACTAACACATTCACTGAGCACTAATAAGGACATTATATCCTTTTGATTTTTTTGAAAAACATAAATAAATGAATATTAAATTTACCACTTTAAAATTATTATTTGAATTGCCAAATGAAAACTAACCAGAACTCTCATCGTGCACTTCTGTGGTAGACTGCTCGAAGGCTACTGAATGCTCTCAATTGGTCGCGGCATGTTTTTATACCAATGCAACGTGCTTGTGCTTTGTACGTAAAAAAGTAAGTGGTTCTACATTCAAGGGCGGGAAGGGTGTATAGGAAGCGTTAATTTTTGACGTATAGTTTCGTGCAGATAGGAAATGGCCGGTAACTTTTTTTAAAACCGTCGCGTTCGAATTTCAATAATATAGTACAAACATTCTATTTTATAGAATATACATTTCTTTTAAATTATTATGATAAATGTTGCAACTTTTAAAAGTTATAATCTTTTCTTGGCGCAAGTAACAATTCTTTAAAAAATGATTTATGCTTTCTATCGAATTGAGATTATACATTCATATTCAATAAAAATAAACTTAAAAGCTTTTCTACCGCATTATAAATATTTAATTTATTTTTTGTTTTGAACTGAGTTGAACTTATTACACTTTAAATATCATATAATCACCAGTCGTTATTGAATGTGACATTAAGGTTAATTTTTAATTATAATATTCAGACAGTGCAAAATGCAGTTCTTATCTAGGCTGTCAAAAGTTGATATATTATAGGATTAGTTAATATATACAAACATTTAGGTAATTTCTAAGAAGGTGACATAAATTAACGATTTTTAGTACTTTTTTAAAAGTTATTATTACGTTTTAAGTAAGTTTTAATTTTTTACATGTTAATGTTAACAATTTATTTGTTTAGTTCACAACTTTTTCCTCTCTCCTTTCTTCTCCTTTTTCTTACTATTATTAAGCTACGTAACAAACTTATAATATGACGTAGATCACTACCAACCCTGGCCTGTTGGTCTAGTGGTTAATGACCCTGACTGCTAAGCCGAAAGTCCTAGGTTCGATTGCCATCCAGGACAAATATTGTGTGATGATCACGGTCATTTGTTCTGTGTCTGGGTGAAATTTATCTATAATATGTATGTATTTAAAAATATATAAGTATGTTTATCAGCAGTCTGGTTACCATACCGCAGAGTCTGCTTAGTTTGGGATCAGACAGCCGTGTGTGAGATGTTAATAACGCTATCTTATAGAAGTTAAACGAAATGTTAGATAGTATAATTTACTAAGTTAGTTCTGTAGGCCAAAACCTCCTTTCTAAGGAGAGGCCTATGTCCAGCAGTGGACTATTAGAGGCTGTTGATGTGATGTGTGATGGTGACGAAGGTCTATGGTGAAAATTACATTCTCAGATCAATTCTTCTGATGAATAACGCAGAGCAAAACATGGTGGAGCTTCTGTAGGACCTAACCATAATTAAATTTGATTATTTTTCTCTAATAATAGAAGATTAAAAAGAAAATCTTTTTTTTTTAATTACGAGTAAGAAGACCAGACGGGTTGGTCTGGCCAGTGTGGTATAGTAGGCCAAACCTCCTGTCTAAGTAGAGGCCTATGTCCAGCAGTGGACTGTTAAAGGCTGTTGATGAAGAAGACCATGTTTAACATCAAACAAAATTTAAAAAAAAATGTTGAAAATTTAAAAAAAATATCGGTATCTTAAGACATCTATAACATTCATTCTGCGTGTATCTCCAAAGAGTTAGACAGAATGTAAGCAACATCGACACTTTGCCGCTTATAATGTCCATTTAATGTCCCTGTCTTAGTAGCGTCTCTAATGACAGGATGAACATAGGGCAATAAGGATTTTATATTTATATTGGATGGTTTCTAGCGCAATATCAGATATACTGTTGTAATCTTGCTGTACTCACTTAAATTTTTAAAATAAGAGATCTTTTAGAAAATGATAAGTGAATTCGGTTAACATACATATTTTTATTAATTTGAAGCTCTACAACATAAAAAACGCAATCTAAAATTTGCCAGCTATAATGCTCAATATCTTCTTTTTTTATATTAAGTTGCAACACTGAAAGGAAATTGCAACATTCCTTTTTCAAATTAATTAAAATGTTAGTACAATTATCAGTGTTGCATCTGACATTCACCGGTTAGGCTGTTATTGAACTTTTTCGTTAACAAAATTTAATCTAGTTTAATCCTGAAAGTGAAAGTACTTCATTTAATTCTATCATTATAAAATGATGGATGACGTGCTGAGACATAGAAAGGTTACTTTATTTTATCTTTTTTGTAACATATTATTTATGGCGTATGATTAAATCTAACCAGAGGAAATTTATAAGACGTGAATTTTAGCCAAATGTTTCTTGACTGTTTTAAAGGATGAAATAAATATATTTATTTAATTGAAGCTACAAGGCGAAGAAAACTTGTCTTATAATGTGATACAGATGTCAAGGTTATAATTAGGTTACAATTATGGACCCTGTCGGGCACAGCACAATGTTAGGAGAGAGGAAGAGCTTGTAACAATTATTATTATTTGTGCCTAGACAATGTTTATGATGTACATTATTGCACACATGTTATATGATATTATTGCACTATTCGGTCGGTTTCCTGTAGTGAGTCATTATTCCATTCACATCTAAAGTAGTTACATTTATTTTTCCATTTAATCTATTAGCATATTGTCCATTTTAATAAACTTACTGACCTAGATACCTGTTATAAATGTAAACATATAAAAATCATCATCATTTTTTGTTCTTATAATAACTTTGTTTAGATCGGCGCAATGAGGTTTCTTCTATTCTCCTCTATCACTCGTCATTAAACTGAGTAAGTAAGGTTATCGTTACCCCTTCCGCGTTTTGGGGGAGGGAGGGGCAAATAGCGACAAAGCACCTGTGACTCTGGAGTTGCAAGTGTTCATGGACGACGGTAGTTACTTACCGTCAGGTTACCCGTCTGTTCGTTTGTCCCCTTTTTTTTCTGTGCGGTAATCCCCTCATATACCACCCACCGGTGGTTATGTCGGACTCGAACCGACCAAAAACCGCACGCCGTCTCGTAAATTTCGCGTGGAGTTCCACGCACTCTCGCTCCGTACCACGGCGGCAATCATGTTATCGAGCGAGAGACTTCCCACTCCGATGGCCGTCACGAGGCAACGCCTCTGCTCCACCCACGCCAGGCATTCTGCTGTTCGTTTGTCTGTAATATAAAAAAAGCCTCAAGTTATTAAATAAACGATTTTGCGAAATTTAAAATTGCTGTACTAACAATAATGAGAACAAATTCCAGATGTTCGACCATGAATGCTATTAACGTACTTTGTGTAAGTAGTACTGTAATTAGAAGGATGGCGAAATGATATTTGTACACTTTTTGAAGCTTTATTATTAATTATGTATGGTAACTTAACCATATCTTTGCACTTTCCGTTCGTCCTAGACTTAGCAGTAGTACTTTACTCCACATATTTCACTCTATTCGTCAAAAGGTCAGAGGCGCCCTTACCTAGGGAATTTGTCTCACTGCGAGCAAGAAAATAAATCAGTTGAAGAAGGAAATGAGAGAGAACTTTATTGTCAATTAAAACAAGATATAATGAATTTATCGATACATTTATCTCATATGTTTTTGCATCATATCTTGTTTTAAGTTTGATATTAATATAAAATTCGTTTTTCAAACTTCTAGAAATACCTACATATAAAAAATGTAGCTATATAAGTGTCCCACTATACTTAGATATATTAAATGTGTTTTAACATAAAGATGTCCTTAAAAATCAAACTCACAATAATAAATCACATATTATATTGTGATATGTAGAGATATATATATGTTATATACATGGATATGTATTTTTTTTATCAATATGGATACGTCAAATCAATAGTTTAAATATAAAATAATAAAATTAATTAATATTTAGTTTTGTTAGTATGTATGTGTATTTATATAGATATTGTGTAGTTATTACATACGAAGCAAAATGAAAATAAAAAAAAATGTTATTATAATTAATTTAAGTTGACACAATATCTTAGTTTTTCATTTAAAAACAATACACTTTATTTTAATTTGGATTTTCTCTAGATTAATTTTATGAATACTAATATTATAAAGCTGAAGAGTTTGTTTGTTTGTTTGAACGCGCTAATCTCAGGAACTACTGGTCTGATTTGAAAAATTCTTTCAGTGTTAGATAGCCCATTTATCGAGGAAGGCTATAGGCTATATATCATCACGCTAAGACCAATAGGAGCGGAGCACCAATGAAGAATGTTTCAAAAACGGAGAAAAAATATTACTATTGAGAGACGCAGACGAAGTTGCTCGGGTCAGCTAGTGTATTATATGCATGCATATGCAAAGCTTCCTTCAAATTAAAGCTTACAGTAAAAGTCATGAGTACATATATCAGAAATGTTGGTGGTTGTTGACCTGCTAAAGAGATTTGAATTTTCTGGATCTTTTGTCATGGATTGTTCACATACTGAAAGGTAGCTGAGAAAATTCTTTTACTAGATACCTGGTTGTAGTCACCGTATTGAATTAACTCAACGGTCATTTGAAGAGGTGTTCTTAGAGGGTCTTAACTTTGTTCCTCGAAACTTTTTCTCGACACGTTTACACGGCATAAGTCTACTACGATACGGCTCAACTTAAATTTTTTACGTGGAGTGACTGCCATCAGACCCAAGTATTAGGCAATATCGAAGTTCTGTAGAAAGACTGTTGTCGAACATTGATGCACAGATGTTCGTATGGCAACCTGGACCCACTGCTAAACATGCTCTCCGAAGCACGAAGGGGTCTCAATGTGTTAAGAATGGTCACCCATCCATATACTGACCTGGGTAGGATTGCTAAACTGTGTTAAACTACTCGACTACCAAAAAGCCACGAGCCTCTCTAACTGACAAAACAGTTTATAACAATCGCTGTCAGTGGGACAAAAGCCTAAGTAGAAACAAGTAAAGCAACTCGTTCTGGTGGCTGGCAATACCATACCGGATGTTAGTCAACTGCGAATGCTACCTAAATGTACGGTAAAGTGGGTACGTATCTTGTCTCGCCTTGAACCTTTGCCTCACTGTAGTTATATTTGGCATTTGTAGC